TATATATTATTATTATTATTTTTATCAGTTTCAGACTATTTTCAATGGACTATCATGGAAAAAGGTAACACTGGGGGAGTGTCTGCCCACTTTCTGACTCATGCATGGCTTTTCAAATTAAGTTTTATAGTAACTCACTGCACTTTATCTAGTAAAATACCTTTGCTGTGGTTTAGTCTGATTGGGTTTGAGCACCTCTCTCTGGTGTCTCCTCATCACAACTTCCTCCTCCACCCCTGGTTATTGAGTAGAGAATGGAAGACCCTTGCCACTACCACTTCCTAACTGCTGTGGTGTGCAACTTGGAAAGTTCATCACCAGCTGTTTATCCCTCCAGAGAGAGTATGAATGGGCAGCACAATGTGGTGGGAAGTAAGGTGAAGTGTCCATGTCATTGTTGTGCAGGCCACCCTCTGTTATGTAATATGCTAATTTCCTGGTGGATTGGCCAGCTGGATGGGACAAAGTGTTCTCCTCCTATGACAGGAAGGGACTTAATGGGCTTTCTCCTTCAGTTGCCTTCTCTGAAGGGAGCTCATCTAGGTTTTCACAATTGCACTGGCATTTTCACTACATCAACATGGGATTTTAGTTACTGTGTACAGAAAGGTAAGTATATTGTTTCAGAGGTTAACATTTTCCCTTACCTGTAAATGTATTTCCAATATATACTTCTATGCACGCATTCCCATTTTCCCTCCCCACTACCATAGCACATTATTCTTGCCTCATCTAAAAGAAAAGTTAATTTTGGGTGCAAGTGCTTATGGAGATATACTGCACATGATGGAAGGCTACTGTCACATGATGATTACATCATGCATTAGTGCATTTCACATTATAACACATCTTAGGTGGGAGGGTGCAAAAGCACTAAGGTAGATGCATGAGAAATAGCTACTGTGTAAAGAGAGATAAGTATATATTGGAAATACATTTTCAGGTAAGGAAAAATATTAACATTTTTAATGTATGTCACTAAGCTTGGTATTAAAATAGTTTATAATTCAAAGTTTTATATTATCTAAGTTCTAATTTTTTAATTTCAAAAGGAAATATTTAAATGAATTCTTAATTTTGACTTTTGTGCGCCATGTAATGCATCTCCCCTCTAATCCTATTTTTTGGATTTTCTATATTTCCTTCTAATACTTTCAGAGAGACTAAACAATCAAAAACTCAAACTGTGAATATTGTCAGACCAGAATGTAAGATTCAAACCTCTCAAATTCATTAATTACTGATACATAAATATGTGATGCTTATTATTGAGGGTTTTTCCATCTTGTCAGTGCTTTGAATGATTTATCTGTACCATGTGCCCTTCTTTTATAATATGTTTATAACCAATAGAAAGAGAATTTTACCCCCACAAGAATCTTCTAACAATTTTTTAACATATTTATAGCTTAGTTAGAAAACCAGTTAAGTTATAATAGCTTTGAAAGATTCTACTGTGGTGCATTATAAATTGTTTATGTTCTAAGATGTATATTTGAAAGTTCCAAGAACTTGTTGAAAAGAAGTCAGTTATGGGTCACATATTATGCTCATGGTGTTTACAGCCCATGGCTAATTATCTCCTGTTGTTTGTATTGTTTTTGAGAGGAGAATAAGAGCTCAAGTAGATACTGAGTACAACAATAAAACTATAAATACAGAAAGTAGATGTGAAAAGGTTAACAGTTCAAACTTGAAGATACAAACTACATGCAATTATGAAAATTATGCATCAGAAAAAGATATTGTTAATTTTATTTCATATTCATAAGCTTTCATTTCACTGTAAGTTCATTGTGATTGATAATTTCACTACAGTTAATGTTAAGGTAGATTAAATATAAAGCTTTTCTGAAAATATCTATTTAGGAAATTCTAGAGGTTGGAAATTGTAAAGTGAAAAATTAATTTTTATTCTTAACATAAAAATCATCTTGCACTCAGAAGTCAAAATCTGAGACAGACTGACTTGGTAAATTCACAGACAATTCATTAGTAAAATAACTATTAATTATTGATTTTTTTGTGTACAACAGACACATAATGTTTACTAAAAGCTTACTAAGTGTTGTGAATATGCATGTAGTAAATTCAGAATTATAGTAAACATTATTTATCCAATTCAGCATTGGTCCAATGGACCAACACTATAAACAGAGTATTAGCAAGATGTACTCTGAAATTTTAGTCATTAAAGATATCTATTAATGAAATTAATGCTAAGATATATATTGCTACATAGTAACTACTTACTAGAAACTTTGTAAAGCACTTGACCCCCAATTGTGTTCCAGGACTAATGCATAGCCCCAGTACAGTATATTTCATTTTTGTGAGCTTATAGATAAGAAATTGTGAATTTTCTGTTGTTTTATTTAATAAACCTTACATAAAAGATTTTACTTTCAGAATAAATTCCCAGTAATGCTTGAAATATATTGATTTATCTTTTTTTTTTAATGTATATTTATTTTTATATTCACTGTGAAGATAGTTTTCAGTACCGATGACTTAAATTGTGTAAATTTGGTATGTTTTATTTAACTTATTTGACCTTATCAAGTGTTTATTACAGATTATTGCATATTTCTTCATACAAATTATGTTTTCCTAAAAGAATAAAAGTGTGTTCTTGTTTTTATAACAATTTTTAGGCTTAATGGTTTTTTTCTATATTTTGCCACCTTTTTGTATTTAAACCATGAATTTCAAAGGATCTACTTATTCTATTATCTATAAATGTTTTAATAATCTTTTGTGCATGGCTGGTCATTTGCATGATATTGTTTTTCTAAAGCCCTGAGAACTGAGATCTTGGCTTTATTGGTTTATATCTTTTTTATTTTGGTTTCTTAAATGATTTTTTAAGTAAAAATATTTTTCTATCTTTTTACATGTTTCAGTACTTGCATTGCATTGTTGTTTATTGCTGTTTTTTTTTTTTTTTCATGTTTTTCAGTTCATCAGAACTAAGATCTGGATTATATTGATTTATATACATCTTATTTTTTTTTATGTGATTGTTTAAATAGAGATTTTATAATAAGATATAGAATTTAATGATACCTTTATTTGTCTGTACTAGATGTGTTTTTTTTTATTCTTCTCCTATACTCTTGTGACACAGGAAGATTTCTTTGTATCAGATGTATTAAATTCTGCAAGCTTATTGTCCATTTACACTGTTTATTGTTTGTTTTTTATTAGGATGATTTGATTTCCAGTCACCTATATTATGTCAGACAACATCCTGAGTTGCATTCTATGTTGGCAGATTTCCTAAAGAACCTGCTTATCAAAAAACCAGAAAATGTTTTAGATTTTGCTCAGAAACACTTTTCATCTTTTAAAATTTTGGAAGAATCACAAGTGAAAAGTAGTCCTCCTACTTCAGATAACAAGGGAATCCTTGTATAATATTAACATACAAACTTGGTAGTGTAATTTTTTTTAATGATAAGTACTTAAAAGTTCAATTTTTTACTATATAAAATTTTGCTCTCTATTTTAATATATAGTTATTTGCCATGTCTAAAGAAAAACAAAGCTTTGTTTTGCTAAAATCATTAATAGAAAACTGGTTACTCTTTTAAAAGTTAGCTTGTCATTTTTATATTACTCTATCAGATAGTGGGTAATGTCTCAAATATAAAGATGTCAGAAGTTAAAATTTAAAAGCATGCTTTGCACTTTATGCTGTGATATTCTCTCTAAATTCAGCAATTACATAATTTATAAACAAATTATAAAGAGTTGATTTTTTTTTATTAAAGATTTTTCTTGGTGTATGTGATTCCTATTTCAGAGTAAAAGCTCAATTCTGTAATAGAATGATAATGCTCACTTTGAAAACTGGTAGTTTTAACTTTTTATATTAATTTGAAAACTATCAATCAATATTTTGTACAAATAATATTTGGTGTAAAATGATATTGTGATAATGTAACTCTTTAGAGCAAGAAGCATTAGTGCATCAACAAAAATAACATGCTGAAGTATGAATAATTTTGCAAAATATATAAGAATGTATCCACAAGTCTCATCAACAAAGACAATAGAACCTAAACAGCATGGACAAAATTTCTTAAAATGCTCGTTTACCTGTTGTGTTTGCAAAGGATTATAATTTCATATTGTAATTCTGTATTGTTTTCTTTCTTATATGTTGCTGGATAATAGTTACTTTGAAAGTCTTTTATCTTAGTCGACAGAAACTTTATATTTTCATTTTATTACTCATGCTAGTTTGGATTGCTCTGTGGGTTAGTTAAAATCCTTAAACTTATATGATAATGACCTAACATAATCAGATGATGCACACATTATTGTTATTCAGTTATTTTGTGTTTTTTTATACTTTCTAGTAGAGTTGAAGTTTATGTACTTATATGATATCTTGCAGGTTCTTAAGGCACTAAGGTAATACTACATAAGAAAACCTTTTATCTTATTTCAAAGAAATTTTAAACCAAGGTGTGTAACTTTTTCAGCAATGCTTTCTCAGTTCTTTTTCCAACTGAGAAAACTTTGCTTAAGAAGTGAAACATCTTGATTTAGGATTTCTTTACATTAACCCAAGAGAAGCTGAAACTGTTTTCAGAAGCTTAGGGAAATACTCTATTTCCTTTGTCAAATATATTTAATATTACATCAGTTAATACAACCAATGGAATGTAATAAGATGAGGTTTTAATCAACAGGATATTCTGTTGATTATTACAGGTATTATAATATAAAGTGGAGGATTATAATCAAAACAGTATGTTGTTAGAAGATCCAAGCAGTATAATGTGAAGTAGAGAGCTTTTATGAAGAAACATTCCTGCATCTACTACAGAAAGTATAATGACAAGTGGAGAACTCTGATCAAAACAGTATTATCGTATTAAGTTCATGCAGTTTATTATGATATGGATAGTACCAACAGAGCTTTCTTTCAGTTATTACAGGGTCAGTTTAATGTTTCAGTTGATGTAATGTGAGAAGTTATTTATCAAAAAAGATAATTTTGTTTATTAGAAGCAACATAATTTGAAGCATAGAATTGTGAACAAAATATTCCTTCAGTTATTACACACATAATTAAACATATTGTTAATGAATTAACCAACAAAATTTTCCACCAGTTTATACAAAGAGTAAACCTGGCATTTACCCTTATGGACCTACCAGGAAGTGACATAGGAGAACCAATGTATGGATCTGACCTCATATGCCCCCCAGGGGCCTTATGTCTTTCCCATTGATTTATATACTTGCTAGTATGTACATATATGTATGTGTGTATAAAAATATTCTGTTAGATACTATATGCAGTGTAATGTGAACTGGAGATTTAGTCAGTGTGAAATGAAAATGACTTACCAATAGAAGTGTTTATAATGAACAATGTATATCTCACATATTGAAAATGTGGAAAGTGTTTATATATCACATCAAATATATTAGACAGTAAAACTGCAAACGAAGATTTCAAACAAAAAGTATCTGTAGTCTTAAATGCAAGCTGTTTGGAATTAATACTTTTTATAAGGAAAATCTTATCATGATAAAATTTACTTATTTCCAGAAAAAAACATGGTCAAAGTTTAAAAAGTATTGTGTTTTGGCATAATTTTGTTATGGCACTAAAGGTTTGTCATCTTTTTTTTTTATTATTACAGATTTTGACAGCTAACTGTATTTGTAATGAGCTTGATAACAAGATGTAGCTTCTTAATATGTGATATGCAATGATTGTAAACTTTTATAATTTTTTGTTGAATTTGTTATAAGATTTTAACTTACTTAAATGTTATAAGTGGTTCATGATAAAATTAAATTAAATTTTTCATCTATAATGAAAAAGTGTAAAAGTTTTAGATTCTAATCACTGATTATCACTAGGATGTGTTATTTTGGAATATTCATTTTAATGGGTTTAGCTTAACTTCATACAAACTTAACACTTAGTTATACTAGACACCCATTATAAACAATACAAGGAAGTAAACAGGAAAATTCAGTGATGGTTTTTATGTGTGAAATTGTTTTTATTTATAAATATTTCAGTTCAACTTAAGTTAAAAAAACATCAAAAATATCATTAATTAAATTATTGCTTACTTTTATGCTGAGAAAAAATACTCTGCTTAATTTAGAAGATGTCCTAAATTAAGATTTATAAATATGTTTATTAGCCACAAAAGATTTTTATGTGTTAGAGAAATTTAATAATCAAAATTTCATTTTTAAAACTAAGTAGCTTGTGTTTATTGTTAGTAAAGTGACAAACTTAAGGCTACAGTTCTTATGATTGTTTTGTGATAGAATGAAGGTGTTTTATGGACACTTATGTTTCAAGAAGTACTTTTTTTTGTGTTTTTTTTTATAAATTAAAGGTAAAGCAGGAGCAAAAATAAAATTCTTGTTGTTATTTTACTGGTACTATTTAATTTATATATGTTCTTATATATACATATATATATATATTCTTATTTTTAAACAAATACAGTTTTTTTAAGAAACAAAGTTTGTCATAGAAGTAAATTATATGGTACCGTTTAACCTCAGAAAATGTGTTTAAGTCTAATGGTGCTTTCTTTTATGCCAAAACAGTTTTTAAGACATAAAAAGGATTAATCACAGAAAGTAAATTATACAATACATTTTTAAGCTGAGAATATTTATGGTAAAAAATAAAGCATTAACAGTGTGAGATCAACTGTGGCGTAGTGGTTAGCATGCTGAACTATTGATCTGTGGGTTGACATTCACGCTGGGGCCATGGGTATGTTATAAAGGTGATAGTCACAGGCTAGTTGTCTTTCCTTTATTTTATGAATTCAAAATTAGCTCTTTAGTATCTTTGCACAAATATAACCAAAAAAAAACATTTTTCCTTGTGAGCCCTATTGACAGATTCAAATTTTTACATAGAAATCAAACAACATTTCATTTATTTACATACTAAAGGTGTTTAGCAGAAGCTTTCCTCCTCCCAATTATAGAAATTCCATCACAGCATATTTATCAATCTGGAGTCCAGGTAGCATTTTGTGATTCTGAGCACCCCTGTTTGTCTCTCAAGCCCCTTTGGGGCTTCTTAGATATAAAACCTAAATTACTGCCATGTTAGTTAGTAGCATTGTGCTATCGATAATTCCAAAACAGTTACCAGAAGACAACTGACTAGGCAGCAGATACTTTTTATTTTATTGTTATAGATTATTATGAAAGTTTTTTTTCATTAATTTTAAATTTCAACCACCCTATGTAAATAAAATTATTATTTTTATTACTATTATATTCTTGAGGAGTTTATCACAGTCTCTCCTCCCTCTGATGTACTGAATCTGTCCTTTCCACAAAATTTTGAGCTTGATCTGCTTCTATAATTCTACCATTTTTTCTTCTAGTGTTTCAACTGACTAGTGTGACTTCTGTTCCTTTTTTTTTTCTTGTTTCTTCAGTCTACATGCTATTTCATTGACAGTATCATTTGAAGATCATGCCAGTAGTCCAAGGACTGCACCTTACTTGCTAGGTGGTGCACTTTCACATTGAATGATTTGCTGCTGTGGCCTGGAATATAGTTCATTATCAGATGAACCTTCAAGTATTTCTTGGAAAAGAAAATCATCTCCAGTCTCTACGTTTGTTGTCCAAAGAAAGAATAGAAATAATAAGTTTACTTTCAAATATACATTTTAGAACACCAGATATACCTTAACTACCACTTTCACTGCCAAAATAAATAAAGGATTGTAAAGATTTGTCTATACAAATGGTAATTAAGGTATATCTGGTGTTCTAAAATGTATATTTTAGAATTTGCTCTTACTATTGATTATGAACATGTCCATAAGAAATTTACACTTAATTACGTAATTATCTTGAAAGACACAGAAGGATAGAAGAGGCTTCTCTAGTAAGTTAACAAATTTATTGAGTTTAATTTCTGAATATCCTTTACACAGTGCAAAGCATGTGTCCCTTACCTATAATTTTCCACTCTCTCACCTTCTATGTGGCTTATTTCAAACATATCAGAAGGTCATACATAAGGGGTTTCCTTCCCACCATAATGTTTTTTGTTGACACTAATACTCTTAACTTTCTGATGTAACTATTTTCACCACTGTTGGAATTTCTATTGTAATTGGAGGCCTTATTTATGCAAACTTCTTGTAGTGTGTAAAGTAACCTTCTAGCAGATGTCCAACATATCTATGCTATTGTGTACTGGTAATACTGGCAGGTATCATGATCATTTGGATGGTTAATTTTTGTAACACTCAATATATTTTTTTTTTTTATGAAGGCAGTTTTATGCTCAGGTTTAATTCCCTCCAGAGTCTGCTGAGCTGGATTGTCTGCTAAAGTACTAGCCTAATCCTGATGACATTTCAGCTGGTCTCATTTCATTTTCTCCCAGATATGTTATATTTTTCCACATTGAACCTATTTCATTAGACATGAGGGTGCTTGTATCATATGAAATGATTTCAGTACTTGAATCTTTTATTTTTCCCTCTTTTTCCTGGTATTGGGGTTGCATATATTTTTCATATCCTTTATATTCTCTTTGTACTCTCCCTTCTCAAAGTATTGACCCACAATTTGGTTATTGGAGGTGGGAGTGATCTTCTATGTGTTTTGTTTTACTTTGACCTATGTCAGTTTCTGCCCTGTACACCATGATTTGTTTTGTTTTGAAACATTATATATCTGCACCATTATTAGCTATTCTCATTTATTAGATTTGTTTAAAAATCAGGATCACATATCTAATTTGAGGTCTTATTGACTATGGGTTACACTGATATTGCTTCTCTCACCACATGGCTGTTATGTTCCTTTGACACTTTTGCCCATAAGGCCAGTGTTTTCAACTCTGGTTTCAAGTGGATGAGAATGATGACACATTCCCCCTGTATGGGAAGAAAGTCCATCACAGGTTAACTCCTAGCTAATAGCTGAGTACAACTATGAGTCCAAAGCCACTGACCCACAATGTCGCTGTGTTACAATAACAAAACACCTGCAGGTTTGTCTTTGCATGTATTTCACCTTAACTTGTTTCCTGTTCAGTGCAAGCTTAGCAGTTTTATCGTCTCATTTTGCTTCTGGACATCATTGCCTTCCATCATTGTAACGTTTTTGATGCTTGCTGCATATACTCCTATTTTTTGTGTAACCTAACATTTATATGACTCAGTCATTGACTCTCTTTTCTGGATGACTCCTCTGCCCATACTTCTGGGGGTCATTCCAAATTTAGATTCATCTATGGACCCTTATTTGCATGTTACTTGTGTTTTTCAGATTCTTCAAAGGATTTTTGACTGTTTGAAATATATATATATACATATTGATGTATTTAAAATTTTAATATGGTTTTTACTATCATCTCTTTGTGGTAACCAAAAAAAAAAAAAACCGGAGAAAGATCTAAGACCAGTCTTAGATCTTTCCCATCTCATTTCTTATCTACATATTCCTACTTTTTAGGTGGAACATGTAAGAAGCTTATGAAAATTACTTTAAGTCTTTTTTTTTTAATAACGAATTGGGACTTCAGAGACATTTATTTATATATTCTGACTCACCCATTTTCTCATCTGTATCTTCAGAGTGGTTTACTAGTTCATGGCCATCACTTTTCAGTAGTAAAACCATTGGCTGGTCTTTTGTACACACTCTTTATTGATTGTTGTCATTACGTGGATGATTAAAGAATTCCTGTTCATTGGTTGTCCTACGCTGAATTGACCTCCAAGTTAGTTTCTTCTCTGGAATGGATTGTTCACGAGTCCAAGTCTCAGTTTGTGCCTGCTCAGTATCTCGTACATCTATGATTTCATATCAACACACTCCCAAAAAATCTTTACCCATCTCCTTTGGCTTTATAATCCTTCAAGTTTTGAGTGTGCATACTTTTCAAAATGTCAAACAAATCCTCTTTGATTTGGGAATGACGACTTCTATTTACATGCCAACCCCCATGAATTGTGCTTATTTGAGGCACCATCATTGAGATTTTGTCCCTTCATGGAGTCTATCCTCAGATCTGTTGTTTATAAGAATCTTTACTACTACTACTGCTTATTCATAAATTTCTCATTATAAGTTTCCTTTTTCTTCCATCTCCTCTGAACCCGGATCTTTTCACTGGTGCTTCTCTCCACTGCTGGAGTAATGTGTTGGGGGATCATCATCTTTTAAGCCTCTAGTCTGCTTATATACCCCATTTTCACATCATTCTGTTTGAGCTTTGGGCTATTTAACCTGAATGTTGGGAAATTCTGTTATACCACCACTGTGTTTTAATTGTAGCAAATAATTTGACTGTAGTGGAATACACCAACAGGCAAATGTGGACTTGATCTCACAGCCTTTGTTTGCTGTGGTTTCTCTACTTGTATCGCTACAGTCACATCATGTTTTTATCTGAGCTGATATTTCAGTGGTTGTGTCAACAGTTTACTCATCTTATGCTTGATACATTCGTGATGGTAGTTCATCAACATCTGATGCTTTATTGATTTCCAGTTCTGGGTTCAGCTTCTCTAGCAGTGGGTGCTTTGAGCCAGTCTTGGAAGGATTTGTTTCTCTATGCCTATCCTCTTCTTCATCTTCTGTTTCGGGTACTGGTCAAGATCAATATGCCCCATTATCCAGTTCTTTTTATTGTCCCATGCTGGCCTGCTTCACCATATATTTCCACTGTTAGTAAAGCTGGCTTCTTCTCTTGGGTAGCTCAAATGTTGTAAGATTCTTGTAGATGCTTTTCCCTGGCAGTATACCATTATCTTCGTGTACCTTTAGGAGTTATTGCCAGCAGAAATTTGTTTCTTGTCCTTCCCCAATTCCGCAATGGTTTGCCTCATTTCTTTCATGTTCCACTTTCATGAGTGAGGCTTGTCTGCTACTATTGCACTCTCAACCAGTTTTAGTTGCCACAGAGGTCATGTGTCTCTCTATGACTCACTTCTCCAGGTGTTTGTCTTAGCATTTTGTTAATGTTTCCGATGAATACCTAGACGTTGCCCTCAGGGGACCTAGATCTCCTTAACAATCAAGATGGAAATGATACTAATACAGTGGAACTGTCAAGGTTTTTTTATGCTAATTTAGATTATATTAAGACTTTGTTTGATATTTGCCATCTTATGTGTATCTCCTTACAGGAAACTTTCTTGAAAACTGCTGATGTTGTAATCTGTAACCATTTCACAATTGTCACTATACTAAAAAGGACATTTTGGTTCATGGGAGATAGGTTATTAGTTGACAACTATATTCCTTAAGACTATATCACTTACTATATATTTGGAGACCACATACATCCACATTGCCATTGCTCGAGCTATGTTATCTGTACCTACCTCTGGGACAGGAACTCGATCAAGAAGACATTTACGATCATATTCA